CTGTTTTAGAGCCTATTCCGAGCCAGAAGTGGGAGGATGGTGTTTTGAAAGCAAAAACAGAGCCCTATAGAGAGAAAGTGCGAAGAACACATCCTAGAAGCTGTCTTAGAGCTGGATTTCATCGAATCGAGCTTGGAGATCGTCATAGGAGTGGAAATCATCATCCCGGAGCAGATTATCCTCATCGTTATGAGTATGACTAATCCGATTCTTGTTTTCTCTTCTCTCTCTATGGAGTAGAACCCTTCTCTCACTTGGGTATGAAGAACCCTAGTTCCTTGTGTTAGGGATTTGATTGTAATGACTTGGGATGATACTACTGTTTGATTTTAATCGAATGATGCATGTTTATTGAATTGATTTGAGTCTGATCAGCTTTTCTCAATTTCTGCTGCAACCTGAGATAGATAGAATCTGATTAGGTTGTTAGAGCCTCTTCATTCGATAGTAGGAGATTGGCTATACGAGAGTTAGCCAGTTTACTGCTTTGTACTGGTGTTTTTGGCGCCAGTAGTGGAGTTCTGTGTTCATAGCCTCAGCTTTCTACCCCGGTGAAGACTAGTCGTCTGCCAGGTAGTTAGACTGAGAGGGCTTGGTCAGCTTAAGAGATTCCAAGCTACTGTCGGATCTTCCGCAGTCTAATCAACAGTAAATCAACCCAGGGAATTGCAATTGAACCTAACTAAGGGGCTAGGGGGACTCAATCCCGAGTGACTCTTGCCTGCTTTAGAAACCCGAACAATTTACTGCTTTCTTGTTGCTTTTACTTTTCACAACAATCACTCGAACTAGTTTGCTAGATAATAGAGAATCACGGAGTAAGCAGTAGATCTAGACCCCGGGTTGATAATTAAACTTGCCTATACTGCAGTCCCTTTCATTGGTTACACTTGGCCATTGTTAGGTGTTGTGTTTTAGCGTGTCAATATGCCATGTACACAACCCATGAAAACAATCTGGGAAAACAGACCTTATACCAGCAGCAATTGCAGCAGCCTGGTCAGTAAACATTGATAACGGTCTCACACCTCCCATGCATTTCAAAAACTGATCGAAAAGCCATTCAAATGTTGCCGTTGTTTCATCATAGAGAAGAGCAGCCGCAAAGACAGTCAGTTGGTGATGATTGTTGAAACCAACAAACAAAGCTACATAAACATAACAAAATGTGAGTAAAAACAATTCTACCAACACATACCCTGTGGTAAAAGGTACGAATAACAATAATACCAACCCATACCATATGGTAAAGACTCATACCATGTGGTAAAGACTTCTAAGAACAAAAAAAAACAATCCACACCAGACTACCATATAGTACACACTTCTAACAACGCAAAAAAACACCACAAATAACCTTGTTACCAACCCATACCATATGGTAAAAGACTTTTAAGCACAAAAACCACCTCAAATAACCTTGTTACCAACACATACCATATGGTAAAATACTTTTAAGAACAAAAATCACCTCAAATAACCTTGTTACCAACACATACCATATGGTAAAAGACTTTTAAGCACAAAAACCACCTCAAATAACCTTGTTACCAACACATACCATATGGTAAAATACTTTTAAGAACAAAAACCACCTCAAATAACCTTGTTACCAACACATACCATATGGTAAAATACATTTAAGAACAAAAAAAAAACATGATACAGAATGATAATAATAATACTCATACAAACTAACAAACACAATAATAAACAACAAACTAGAAAACATACCTAGTGGCCGATACTCTTTGTTAGTCCGGTAAGTAGTATCAAAACTAATTGAATCACCAAAATAATGATAATCCATCCTCATCTTCCCATCTGCCCAAAAAATACTAGCAATGTTCTCTTCAACATCAACCTCCACCTCATGAAAGAACCCAGGATCCAGCTGTGCTTGACGTCTAAAGTATTCAAGCAATGCAGTCGCATCACCATACTCCATTGATGACGTCCTAACCGTTCGCAGATGGTTCTTCAAATCATTCTTTGTGAACCCAACAAACTTCCGACCACCACCAGCCCTACTAATTGCATTATACGAAGAAGTCACACCAATACCAGCAGCATCATTCACCTCTGCCAACATCTTATACACAGGAGCCATTCGTCTGCTGGATCTCACATAGTGACGCAGAGACTCAGGAATCATGTCATGGTTGTGCACATTATACCAACGATAGATCTTGTAGCATTTAAACTCTTTAAACCACCTCAGTCGTATATAAGCACCATTACATCCACCCCTGAGTTCTGGAACATTACGAACACGAACCGTCGTATCAACAACACCTGCATTATCAGGGTTATTCTCGCTACCTCTTTTCCAACCTTCCTTATTGCAACAATACTTGATATAATATACAGCTGAAGAACCACCATTGAGCTTCGGACACGCTGATTGGTTATAAATCCTCACACCAAAACCTTCATGATTCCCATAATCAACATAAAAATTATATGCATCATCTGGTGTATTGAACTCTAAGTCCTTCCAAGAATCACGAACAGTAGGATCTATACCATTGAAACCTACAAACATTATGAAACAACATATTAAATGGATTCCACACCACAACAGTATGAAATCTCAATGTATACCAATAATTACAGCCATGATACAAGAGTTACCACCATGGTATGGCATGGTAAAATCAAATTACCACACTATATGGCATGGTAAAATCAAACTACAACACTATACCACATGGTATGGCATGGTAAAATCAATTATCACACAGAACCCTCACATTTAACTTCATAATTACCACATTTTACCACATGGTAATGTACTGTAAAATCAATTACCACATGATAAGGCATGGTAAAATCAAATTACCACCCTATACCATATGGTATGGCATGGTAAAATCAAACTACCACACTATACCACATGGTATGGCATGGTAAAATCAAATTACCACACTATACCATATGGTATGGCATTGTAAAATCAACTATCACACAGAATCCTCGAGTTTAACTTCCTAATTACCACATTTTACCACATGGTAATGTACTGTAAAATCAATTACCACATGATAAGGCATGGTAAAATCAAATTACCACACTATACCATATGGTATGGCATGGTAAAATCAATTATCACACAGAAACATCACATTTAACTTCCTAATTACCACATTTTACCACATGGTAATGTACTATAAAATCAATTACCACATGATAAGGCATAGTAAAATCAAATTACGACACTATACAAACTGCAATAAACAAACAAATTTGCATATCTTACCTCCTGATTCACCAGAGTTAGCTGAATGATCAAATCCAAGATCAATAGATGAAGAAGCAGTTCCAACAGCACTAGATGAAGAACCAGATCCTACAACGCTGGTTGAAAAACCAGATCTATCAATTGGAACAACATCGCCACAATTTACGTTACTCATCTCACCAGAATACTGCCAAAACACCAAAACACAAAGAACATAACACATGAACAAGCTCGATTAGCTAAACATAAACAAGCTCGACTAGCAGCAATGAAAAACCTCCAACGAAACCAGAGATCAACAGAAAACTCGATTAGCTAAACAGAAAGAATCAAAAAAACTAATATCTAACCTCGTCGTCGATCAATTATGGAGAATCAGAAAAGATTCGCCGTCCCCTGTTTCGCAGCGGCTGCTCGCAATTTCTCTCTACAAAAACCGAATCCAACTCGCGCACACGTCGATCAATTATGGAGAATCAGAAAGCTCGATTCGAAGCTGCTGCTCGCAGTTTCTATCGCCGTCGATCAACAATGGAGAATCGCCGTCCTTATTTCTCAGCTGCTGCTCCCCCTGCTCGTAGTTTCTCTCTCCAAAATCCGAATCCAACTCACGCACAGAAAGGTTTGCAACGGACAAAGAGGGAAAGTCATTTAATTCAAATATAAAATATCGGACAAAAATGCCCCTGACCGTGGACAAAAAACACCGCATCAATCACAGCCACAAGATCCGTCCGGCCAAGATCGACGGTCCCTATGTGGTTACTCACGGGTGAGTAACAAAGGGTTACTCACCCTATCCTAAGCCCTCGGCGATTGCCATTCACTGAAGAAGATCCGTATCGTGGATAACCTCCTCAGCAAACCCGCCGGCATCTTCAGTTCCCCTGCCGTCACCTTCCTGGGATTCAGCAACAACTTCTTCGGCAAACTTCTGCCGGAGATGTCCGCGCCGCAGCTCGGCCTTCTCACTGTTTCCTACAACCGAATTAAAGGCGGAATCCCGCCAGCCATTGGCAACTTGGCGAACTTGCAAATTCTATTGCTTGATACCAACAGATTGTCCGACGAAATCCCGACTCGGGTTTTCAATCTCCGCCACCTCTCCAAGATCAATGTCAGCGCGCGCTAACAACCTAACAGGTGAAATCCCGGCCTCAATTTCTCATCCTCGTCACTAACCTCAGCCAATTTCAGCCGGAACCAGCTCTACGGCGAGATTCCAAAGGGGATCTTTGAGCTCAAATATTTGAGCATTCTGAATATCTCCGTCAATCAAATCACCGGTCAAATTCTAGGCGATATAGGGTACATGACCAACCTCACTACTCTTGATCTCTCCTAAAACAAATTGTGGGGGAGGATCCATACGGGAGGACAGAATGAGAAGGAAACTGAGGGAGGCTAGAAAGCCAATTAAAGAACATAGAGGGGTCGGTTCAAAGGTCGAGTCGGATCTAGTTAGAAGGTTGGTCCTGATGAAATGGCGGGTCTAAGTGATGTGGTAGGTCGAGTCGGGCATTTTTTTAGTTAAATAAGGTTGATTAGACGATTTCGTCCGCCACATTATCACTTAACGGTCTCCGTTAATAGACATGGATGGCAACTAACGAAGAGTGACCATACGTGAACGATTTCATTAAACTAAATGACCACCCATGGATTTAAATATTTCTAGTGACTAGACATAAACGTTTTTTTTATAATCTCATTGACCGAACATGCAATTAACCCTTATAAATCGGTTATCGATGTAACCGTATAACCAAACATCATCCCAAGTTTACGTACACATAAAGTAAGAACATGATTACAACTTAAGCCAAAGTTTTTACTCAAACCTTCTCAAAAGTTAAACCAAGCCCCTCTTCAGAATGCTTATGATCAAGAAAATCTAGCCCAGACTCATAATGACTTGATTAATAAACTCATAATAATCCGACGCTAATTAAACTAAACCATTTCTCAAGCCAAACAAAACAACATTTAGGGAGCAGAAACGGAAACAGTCATCTCGTCTCATCCATAATCCAAGCAGTTGTTAAGTTTCGCTTCAACAATCCATACCCACTCACTACTACTAGACAAACAATAGCCTCGTACTACTTCAAAAATCGAGCTAACTCCTCCCGATACGCGGCCCGCGAGAGACAACAAAAGCTTTCGTCAGAATCAAGCAGACTGAAACCCTCCCGACGAAGAAGAGCCGTTGCGGCATTCAGCCAACATGTCCATGTACACCTGGCACTTGCTGATGTCTGCTCCAAAGCTGGACAGGCACTGCAATTACCACAGCAATCCAAGGAATTAGTTTTACCCAAAACCCTGCCCGCATTAGCATTGGGAGAGATGAATGAATGATGAAATCAACCAATCCATGCTTGATGCGAATCTAAAATCATCAATGCAATGGATCCAGATCAATTACTCACATCTTGCAGAGCCTTGGAGTGCCCGCCACATGCATTGCCATCAGCAGTCTGAGCAGCAGTCATCGCTGCAGCTGGCTGCTGTGGTGCGGCAACAGTTTCGTGCCTCACAGTTCGAGGACCAAAGACAGCATCCACGGCCCTGTGAGCCATTTCCATTCCAGCTCCCCAGCCAAGTCCTGTTCATTCATCATCACCCAGGAGATTGCAGTCAGGTTGCAGCTAGGCATATAATCTTTCTAGCTTATAGCCTATAGGTGTTGTACAAGAATCAACTCACCATCAGCAATAGCACCTCCGATACCACCCAGCACAGATCCGGTGCTGCTCGACTTATGGACTGGATGAGAAGAAGCAGCTACAGTAGTCGGACAAACAAGACCGTAATCATCAGCTACACTAGAATATGTACTAATGGATGTGAGGAAACAACAACCAACTGCACTTTGTATCCAAACCACAAACAATCCATACATTGAAAGAGGACTGACGGAAATTCAACAATGCGACTATCCAATCAGGCTAGTAGAGCCGTCCATACGTTAAATTAGGCAAGGGCCTTATTCTCAATCACAGGTTATGACCGTTCAACATTCACTAGCTAACAGGCTTTCCTAGAACAGCTTAAGGACTAGGTTCTAAGAAAAGAAAGCAATCATTCAGATAAGCGAAATCCAAGAGCTAGATGATAACCTTTAGTGGCAGGAGACTTGCTGAACGAAGAACGAGAGCCTGAAACACCAGAAAGATGAAACGGAGATGAGATTAGCGGTAAGGATTGTACGGCCAGCAACTACACTTCACCGAAACCCTAAGTAATTTCAAGAAACTGAACAAATCTGGGGGAAAACACCAGCACGATCAGAGAAAGCGCAACCAGGCCACAGATCTCATCCATGTAAACACATAGTCGCACAAGCACACTCAAGTTCGACGATCAACAGCAAGAATCGCACAGTTCCATCACAGAGGAAGCAAAAAGAATTCATGTGCTTCCGTACACACGAAGATCCAAAGAAACGGAAACAGTTCGACTCAGATTTTCTCTCCTCAGCCGTCAGCATACATATAAGTCGCGAACAGACCGCAATGAATTTAACTCGCAAAAGTAATGCAAAGGAAAGCAATGCAACAAACGATAACTCATGAAAGCAGCCATGGATGATGGAACCGAGAGACTCAGAGGAAACCGAAATTTCAACGAAGAAAATGCTTCGAGTAGATTTACCTCCGCCAGAACTACGGCTGCTGCTCTTGCGACCCATGGCGAGACGATCCGGTGAAAGAGCAAACGAAAACTGAAGGCGATCGGCGGGAAAAAGGCTGTAAGCTTTTCAAAGCGAAGGCACAAAGTTAAAAAGGTGGAGGTCCAAAAGGAGATATTTATATTGACTGCTACTTAGTGGGGGCATAAACGAGAAATCACGTATATTTTTCTTGAAGAATAAGCCAGTCAGCTGGGGTTTTTTCCTTTTCCTCAAAGGATAGCTCGGCTAATTAGTTTATTGGTCCACGTGTTCCGAATAACCGGAGGGAGAGATCTCTGAACTTATTTATTTTATATTTTCTCATCCCAACTTTGAGAATTTTTTGGGCAATAGCCAAATAGGGAGTTTTGTCGGAGTTCTAATTGTCGCCTCACTTTTATTTTAGGGATCATTATAAAAACCTCTTGAGCATTGGACAATAGTTTTGACCGGTAAAATTGGTCCGGCGGTTCGCACGGCTCGTTCGGCTAACCAGTCGACTCGATTGCAAAACCGTCTAATTGACCTGTAGCGGGTAAATTACCTGGCCGGACCGAAATGAAAGTCGGTTGGCAGTTTCACCGTCGGACTCGCCTTCCGCTCCCGACCAACATTCACCACTATCCGACAACATCGTTCTACTTCCCTATTTTACGCCATTGAGGGCAATGTCGACCTTAAGTGTGGGGGGTAGTCCATTATGCATGTGTGTGTGAATGTTTGGTGTGATTTTGAATGCTTGGAGCCTTGATGTATGCCCAAATTTGAAAAAATTGGAGGGCTCCAAGTAATGTTTGTTCAAACCGTGAACATCGAGCAGTCCAGCGAGGTTTCAGAGGTTACTGACGCCAGGGGAGTTCACGGTCGCTAAGACCGTGAACTGGGGCCAATGACCGTGAACAACAGAAGCAAGCGGTGCATTTTGGAGATGACACTGAGTTCACTGACGCGTTTAGGTGTTCACGGCCGTGAACTGGCCAACGCGTCCGTGAACTGGTCACTTTCGGGCTAATATGAAGACAGCAGCGGGGAGAGAGAAGGGAGAGCTGATTTTTGGAGAAGAATTGATTTCTTTCTCTAGGGTTTCAACCCAAAACACCATAGGGGAGTACTAGAGAGTGAGTGAAGGATCTTGAAGCTTAATTGAAGTCATTGTTCAAGCTTGGGAGCAAGGAATCAAGCCTAGAAAAAGAAGATCTAGAGGTTTCTTTGTAATCTCCTCTCTCTCTCTCTCTCTCTCTCTCTCTCTCTCTCTCTCTCTCTCTCTAGAAACTCATTCTTTTCTCTTGGGTATTGTAGATCCCTTACTAATACTTTGTAATTACTTGTTTAGATTGAATGATTTTGTATGGGTTTGCATCAAGTTGAGTAGTAGAGGTGTCTTCATGGTGATTGTGCTTAGTTGTACTTTCAAAATCTTGTGTGCTTGCCTAACCTAGATTAGAGGAAAACCACACCTTTTTAGGTAGGCTTGACAAGCTTGGTTTTCCTGGGCACTTTGCGCTTACTATCTAGGTTAGAAATGAGAGTCCCCCTTGACTCAAGTTTGCATCTAGGTTGGTTGTGATTAAGCCGAAACTCCGGTTTGAGGGAGAGCCCTAGGCAACCCCTAGAGACTGAGTGAGAGGATCGATTCCGTGACAAATTGATCTTTAGTGAATCCATCTCGTGACAAATGGATCACTAGTTTCTCCTCCTAGGGTTTCCCCTAGACGTTGTGAGTGGATCGATCCCGTGACAAATCGATCCCTAGTAAATTGATTCCATGACAAATTGATCACTAGTTGCTCACCCTCGCGGTTCACAACCACCTACACCACACGACTCCATTCAATCCAACGAGTCATGGTATCTAGTTAGGGGGAAACAACTCCTGGGTGAAGCTCCCTTTGTTAGAATTTTCCTTTATATACTTTTCTTTGCTTGTTTAGTTTGTAGTTCCATTAGTTATAAACCCAAAAGTTGCTTGCTAGATAACAACCTAACCTATTGAAGTCAGTGGCATAGCCAGAATTTCATTTAAGGGGGTGCATTAAAAAAAATAACATAAGCAAATACATTGACAAAAACCAATTTTCTCTTTAGACTATCGTTGTCATACAAAGTTATTGATTTTCTCTAATAATCTGCACGTCATAACCATCTTAATAAACTGTATTAATGTAGATATTAGTAGGTTAAATTAATTTATATAATCAATCATGGTTGGATACTAAAAATTTACGAATTAACAATAAGATTTTGAGTTCATTGTTCATTATTAGTACTACTATTTTTTGTGGTTCTCCAAATCAAGGGTGTGCCATTGCACCTCCTTATTAGGAGCTAGCTCCGCCCCTGATTGAAGTAGGGGTACATGGATCTGCCCGAGTTGATAATTAAAACTTACTTGCCCTATGCTGCACATCTCTAGAGTTTAAAAATTTGAGCTCTAGAGGGGATTTCTAGTGTGGTGTTTTTTGTAAGTCAGCGGGGCTAAACAGAGTTCGAGGAAGGGGTGGGATCGACCAGTCGAGAGTGGAGGAGGCGAAACTAGTGATTACGACTACGGAGCAGCAGGGAAGGGGGCAAGGGGCAGAGCTAATAATGCGAAATTAAAGTTGATTTGTTTGCGAGAAGGGAGGTGGTGGCAGAAGAGTATGTGTCCCTTTGAATTTGATAACTATAATTTTTTTTGTCTGTGAAAATGAGTTGGAATTATAAAATATCAAATTTTGTTTTAATTATTATTTTTAATTGTCACATCACCTAGTTAATGGTCAAATTTTAAAAGTTGACTGCCACAGACAAAGTTAACTGAATTGAACGAAAAATAATGACCTAAGTATGAATTCGGCCGTTTGTACTTTCCTCGTATAAAAAAAGGGAAGAAAAAAAAAAACAACCGACAGATTCATTCAACATTAGCCCCACACATTTACATACCCAAGTAATATATGAAGGGCAGAGGGATCGAAATCACCATGATCCAAACCCTCATCACCTAAACTACAAACACATAACCAACACAGATACTAGTACACCCAGTGGGCTACCACCATTTCTTTCAATAAAAAGCCCTCAAGCAATTCATCAGAAACTTTATCTTCACAATCAAGCAGCCATCCCAGCACCGGAAGCACTCCTGCGACATTCTCCCAGCATGTCCATGTAGAATTGGCACTTACCGATGTCTGTACCAAACATGTTTAGGCACTGCAAGTCCCACAAAATCATTCATCAGGCAGACTAATCTTCAACACACAAAACGAGTAACAAAACTCGGGCATAATATCGTTACATCAATCCAAAAGGCCACAATCAACAGGGTCGAAAGAGTAAACCGAGCGAGAGGACTAACATCTTGAAGGGCCTTGGATTGAGCATCACAGGAAGAATTGATGGTGCTGTTAGGAGCTGCCGCTGCTGCTTGCATTGCAGCAGTAGGCTCGGACGAGGCAGCAGAGCTTTCGTGCTTGATAGTTCGAGGGCCAAGAACAGCGTCCACAGCTCTGTGAGCCACAGCGGTTCCAGTACCCCATGCCAGTCCTGGTTCATAATTTCGAGAAAACAATGGTATCGAATTAAGTTCACATTTCGATCCGATCTACCCTATGGGGGGGATAATGCAGAGGGCATAGAGGCACGAACCCACCGTCTGCTACTGCAGCGCCGAGACCTCCTCTTGCTATGGGTTCGTTCTGGGAACGTGATTGCGTCGGAGCTAGCGGTGGAGCAGCAGCAGCTACACAATACCGAAGAAAACGAATTACAAATCAGGAAGATGGTTGTCGCAATCGACAATGAGCAGGGGAGCTGAACATCAGGCAGAGATTGTCTTCAAGAGCTAGCATTTACCTTTCTGCGGGGGAGGGCTACGGGATCGGGAACGGGAAACTGAGCGGGCCGGTAACCAAACACAAGAGAAAGAAAAAGGAGAGATCAGCGTAATGTATCATGTTCATGTGTGGTAAGTAAGAGAGGACACGATGATTCGATTGAAGTGTTACAGAGAAGATTCAACAATGGCGAGGAATCAAAAAATCCGAAATCATTTCAGCAATTGAGCATATCGTTCCTGTAAGATCCGATGAAAACCCTAAATCTCTTGCACAATTCAATTTCAACACAAACAAACAACGGAAACCTACTAGTCAATCAGACGATTGGCTATCCCATTTCGCAAGGTCTCTCCTCAAACCACGACGAAACTCCATTTTCGAAGGCTAGGTTTTGGCTTAAATTTGCCAAAACGCCGGGAAAATTGTAACACGAGCGAGGAGAAATGCGAGAAAAGGGAAGCGACACAAGCGAAAGCAGCCATGGCATTTACGGATGATCAGAGGGAACCAAGACACGTACCTTTGCCAGAGCTACCGCCGCGGCGACGAGCCATTGTGAAATATTATCGACGAGATAGGAATTAGGAGGAAGACGAGCTGAAGGACGAGAGGATGGGCGAAGGAGCTTTCGACTGGAATTTGGAATTGAACAGAAAATGGACGTAGAAGAATTTTATGATATCACATGGGTGGTGTGGGGCAATCAGGTTTTTGCTTGAAGGATCAGCCAGCCAGCGCGTGTATCGCTTGACCAAATCGGTGGTGGGAGTTGCGCCTCTAGAATTTTCTGCAACCAGAAAATCGCGGACGAACAGGCAACCTTTTCGTTTGATTTCCTTAGCGAGTCGCGACTGTAAATTCTAGAAAGGCAAATGCCAAATACTACTCCAAAACTTAAAACTTTGAAAAAATTGTCATTTTTAGAACGAAATTTTCACAATAATAATTCTAATACGATCTTCTATATTAGTTTCGACTAGGGTGTTCAAATGGTTACCATGGTTATGACCAATCAAATAAGGCTAAATTCTATTAACCATGGAATACAATATCATAATCAAACTGTCCAAACTAATATAACAACCATATTAACCAAACTAAAGTTTAATCGGTTTGGTTAACCAATATAAAATCACATTATCATTGATGATGAAAAATTTCCGGTTAATGCAACAATTCGCAATTTATATAATGAATAAAACATAACAATCAACACGTAGTTATAGTTGACCCTTAACCAAAATACATGCAACTAATACAATTATCTTACGATTAGTATAGAAGTATTCACCTAACAAAAATTTATGACAACGGTATGGGTTAGTGTATTGTTGTGTTTGTGTAAATTGACTTAGTCTCTTAGCAATTATCATAGGCTGGAAATGACCTTCCTTTCAAGTTTTCATCCATCATAATGTATGAAATTTATCTAAATTAGACCAATATTGAGCTTTATATTTTATATGAGTTTAAAAGGGATGAACGTTAACTCTTGAGTGGTTATGGAAAGTATTAAGTATGTGTATATAATATATGTTAGATATATGACTAATTAATTAACTGGTTATTTTGGTTTGACTGGTTATGAGTGTCTGAAACCAAACCAAACCACATAAACCAAAAAAGCTAAAAACTTTAACCAAACCAAACCAATTATCCAAATTAACCAAACCAAATCATCCAAACAGTACCAGTTAAAACGGTTACCACGATAACCAAACCGTTTGAACACCCCTAGTTTCGACCGTTAGTAGTCAATGGTCAACACTAACCAATAATGTGTCATTTGACCGAAATATTTTTCATCACTAAATAAAATAATTTAAAAAATACTTGAAAAATATCCAAATTGGAAAAAAATCAAATAAAAAAACAATCCAAACTCTCCGGAGTCTATATAACATCTCAACTCTTATCTTAATCAAGAGATTGTATGTTTAGGGTCTAATTTTGCAAGGTTTTGATTTTGGATGCATCATGGTGACCTACAAAAGGTCAATTTTCTCTACACTCCTCCATCCTAAATACGTTTAACTTCATAGTTCTTACAAGAATTTGTTCATCTCAACCATGTGTAAGTGAGATGTTGGACGTCGATCTCAACGTTTTCAAGGAAATTCTTAAATGTTGTGGCAATTTCAAACGAGCCAGTTGAACTTGGAATCAATTTTTAATGCAACAAATTTTGTTCCCTAACTATTTTGGAGTCCTAACATAAGGTACCTCACTCTAAGTGGTTGAGACATGGAAGGATGTCATCAAGAGGATCCGACTAGCTTAAAAATAAATAAGGCACATTTTGTTAACAGTTAGGGCATCGACTAAGAGATTAAAGCGGATGAAAATCGTTGACCTATGGTTGAATGATATGAGAAAAGTTGTTATGGTCTATGATGGGACATAAAGCAAGTGAACAAGAACTTCGACTCCAAGCAACAACAAGAGGCATTATGTTAAGTGCCAATGAGAGAATAAGCAGGCTAGAGGAAGTTCGACAAATTTCAAGGAGTTCCTTAATCAACTCAAAGGTGAAGTGTGGTCCTCCACAAATGTCGAGGATGGCAACCTTATAGGTCAAATTACTTAAGTGACAAAGAAGAGTATGAAGGAACCTGGAGGACTACACCGAGGGCAAGACTATAAAAGGGGCAATATAAATATGGAGACAAGTAAGACAAGGTGACTTGGAGGATGGATCCCTAATGCACAAAACCTTAAGGAAAGGTGACTAGAAACTAAACCGAGCATATTAGAAGGTCGTATATTCGTATTAATTAAGAACGAGAATGAGGACAACATGGTACGAGATGGAATAAGATTACGCCGGTGAATGACAGTGAAGATGGAGAAGCATTTCTAAGCTCATATCAGCTAGCCATTTACTCACCATGGCCAACAAGCTAATGAGGTTGAATTTAGTTACAAAAAGGGATTTAAAAGGCCCTAAAGATTATCACCAACATGTAGGGGCGAGGGAACCTTGCAACACAATGACCATGTTTATACCTTGTAAAAAAAGTAAGATTTCTTATTATAGGGGCAAGAGCGCCAAGGTGTGCCAACTTATGGCATTGATGGATGTCCTAATTAAGAAGTACATAAGGTGTAACCGTGTAAGAATGTGAAAGAAGGAAGAACCACCATTAAGTGGGTTGGAATAATGGTTGGGGGTAAGAATCAATGCCTCGAAACCAGTCTGTAACCAACTGGGAATCGGCAAGCAAGTCGAATGCTTAAAACAAAAGCTTCTACTATATGGCATGGAGTTCAAGAAGAGGATTCAACGATCATGATAAAGAGAACGTCAATAGGTATTTGGCTTAGGGAATCAGTAGTTGAATTATTAACTTAACTTATCCATAAAAGGGTTGTGTAAGAATTTATGCCATTCTTGGTTGGAATTTGATTATGGAATCAAAAGTGGTGACCATAAGGCAACTCGATAACCATAGAACGATCATAGAAGTCTTTATGATGCCAATGTTGGCAACGAATGGAGAACCCAATAAGTCTTGTCGAAAAAGTTGACAAGAAAGTTGTGGACGAGAGGAGATCTAAGGTATGCAAGGAAACTATCAAGGCGATATACATGTCCAAGTGAAAGATACGATAAGTTATGGTGCACCAAACTAGAGAGATAAAAATCATTGTACAAAAGGATTACAATAGACAAAGCTTGAAGTAAAAGTAAGGAATAATTTTTATAAAGTGAGGAGAAAATATAATTTTTTGCAATAGACAAAGGATTACAATAGAAAATATAACACCTGACATTTGGGTTGAGGTTTGATCATAATTTATCTCCAGAATAAACATCGGGGACAACTGAAATGTGTGGCCATCGGTGAAGTGTATGATAGGGTAGAATTTATTTTCACACATGCATTTTTTTTTTTAATTTTTAGCAGACACAATACATGGATTGTTTCTGTGATGTGACAGAAACTATCACTCAAAATGAGTGATTGTTATATCTCCACTTTAAATTGTGATATTGTTGAGATAGTTGAGTTGAGATTGTTTTATTTCATCTTTTAACTAATTTGACATACACAATTACACATAACAAATGATGTATTCTACAATGCATTGAATTCGACAATACATGTATAATATCATACATGTTTTTTTTAAAGAATATAATATTATACTTGTATTCACCACAATACATCTATTTAACAATCACAACTTCCAAATGATACATATATCCTTTAAAATGAATGATTTGAGATGTCACACTCATTAAAAACTAAATATGTGCATTGTCTAACATTCTAGAACGAAAAATCAACCGATTATAGATAATGCATACAGTCATTACGTATGTTATGTAGAATGAGAAATAACAAAGTGTTAATACCCTAGTCTGTCTCGAAGTTTGGCGTAAGTTTTTGGTCTCATTTTTCAAATAAGACATTTATGACCTATTTTTGAAACTATTGGACACATTTGGCCCAAAATTTTCTTTGAATGTTAATATTGACGGTCAAACACTATTCCGTTAGTGACTCAGCAAAAAAACACTATAAATAATATTATTTTAATTTTATAATTCAATTAAAATAAAAATTAACAAATTAAGAAAATCCACTCTTATTATCCCAAAATCCCCAAAGCCCCAAATCCAAACCCTAAACAAAATCAACATCATCGTCAACAAGAGGGAGGATTTCAACGGTGACGCTTGAAGAATGCTCGTCGAGAGGAATCCCACCCACCATGGTTAACCACTTAGGCCAACCATCGACAACCTCCTCCACACCAAACAGATCTATTCTTCCACCACCGCCGCCTCCTTCACTCCCACCACACCAAATGTGATGTAGGGTTTTTTTTCCCTTTGAAGAAGAAGGAGAAAAGGAAGGTCACTGAAGCACAGCGACGACGTTGATCGTCGGGCGAGGCGAGTAGAGCAGAAGGGCCACCGAAGTAGAGCGGCGACACCGATGGTCGGGCAAGGCATGCAGGAGTAGAGGGAGGCGGCAACTCGTCGGGGAAGATAGACGGAGAGGGAAGCTCGCCAACGTTGGGTGAAGTTTAGGGCGTTTTATATTTGGGGGCAAAATCATTCGTTCAGTATAGTTTAGGGCGATTAATTTAAAAACTTAGGACGATAAATAGGAATTCAGTTTGAAAAATGAGACAAAACGATCGGTTACACCGAACTTTAGACCAAACTAGGATATTAATCCAATAACAGATGTCCTTGTAAAGAGAAAACGATATTAAAAAGCACGTGGAGTTTTATGAAATACAAGGTAAACACGTGCACGATGAGGCGGATGCATCATCAACATGGAAACACAAAAACACAAAAATGCCTATGTTTGGCCCGGCTTTTAGAAGTGCTTTTCGGCTTCAAAAGCTTAAGCAGGGCCAAACACCTCTAAAAGCTCGGCTTTTGAAAAGCCGAAAAGCGCTTTTGTATAACATAAAAGCAGAAGCTCAGATTTGGAGCTTCTGCGAAAAGCTGTTTTGAAAATACAAGATTATCCTTACCATATTTTAATTTTATTTCAGAAAATATAATTTTCCTTCATTTATATCATTTTAAAAATAAAATAAATTATAAAATCATATTATTTAATATAAAAGAAATCTAACAAGATCCATTTTGACTAATTTTTATTGTTTCGAATTTTTATTTATATTTTATATTATAAGTCCTTTATAGTCATTTTACACAACCGCTCATATTAAAAAGCACTTCTAATAGTTTTACAGCCAAACACTAAACTGCATTTTTTTGAAAAGTACTTATCTAAAAGCTCCAGCCAGAAGCTGCTTCTGCAAAAGCTACAGCAGGACCAAACTAAGCTATGTTAGAACCAAGTTGCGATTGTTTGCGGGGAAGAAAGACTTTACTCCCCTCCACTACAGATTGGACTGGAGCGGGAAACTGGAAACCATCTTCACTGCCTGCATTTATGATTCCCCACCAACTTCTGTTTCTGGAGAAAAATGATTCCTCGTTCGTTGATCGCATCCCTCATCCGGATAAAAAAAACAAAAAGGAAAGAAAAAAAATCCTTTCTCTTCCTTCTCACGACAGTCCCCCACCTCCTGCCACCGCCACCGGCGCCGCCGCTTCCATCTCGCTTTCTTTCCGGCCCCAAGCTTTCTTCGCTTCCACGCCTCTGCTTCCTTCCCCTCCAATTTTCCTTGACGTCCACTCTTCAATTTCTCCGACTAAACGCTAAAACTAGCAGTCCGACCCACTCCATCGCCATTGACTTCATCACTCATCACTCTTCCTTCCCCCCATTTTCGACTCTACTGCTTACAATTTTAAACCAAACTTTCACGCATTCCCAAGCTTAAAGATTCCTTCTTTCCTTCCCTCTCTCCCTTGCCTGCCTGCCTCATTTCCGACTTTCATGGAGTGACGACGAAGAACACTTCTTTTCACCCACATTCCACTCTGTTCTTCTCCCAAACCATGGCAACTTCCTCCGCCGCGGCGTCGTTTAGCTCCCTCCTCTCCCGTTCCCCGACGTCTCTCCGCCGATGTGACACCAATTCCTCCTCCTTCTCGGTGTCCTTTCCCGGGAGTGGCGCACGGCTAGCGAGGCTCTCTGTTCTTCTTCCCAATCCGCCGCCGCTGACGACGACGACGACTCCACTCCAATCATCGCCGTTCTCCGGTCGGGTTCGCACTCTGCTCGAATCCCCGACTCCGAGATTTAGGGATTTTGCGGTTCGGTCTTGTTCGAATGGGAGCCCCGAAGACGGCGGCGGTGGAAGGGGAAAGGAAGGAGAGGGATCCGGCACCACCGGCGGCATGATAATGGCGAGCTCCGCGGCCACGATCGGGCTGGCGGTGGCCAATCGGGTCCTGTACAAGCTAGCCCTGGTTCCGATGAAGGATTACCCTTTTTTCCTCGCTCAATTCACCACTTTCGGGTCTGTCATCTCTGCCCCTCTTTTTGCCAACTCACTCGACTCTTTGATAATCTGAGAAAAGAGGGGGTTTTTTTTTTCTTCTTCTGATAAATCTCGTAACCACAGGTATGTGGTGATTTACTCGTCGATATTGCATGTGCGGTACCGTGCAGGGATAGTGACTGATGACATGCTGGCCCTCCCCAAGTCTCGTTATGTCGCCATTGGCGCTTTTGAAGCTGTTGGAACCCTGATTGGAATGTACGCGGCAGCAAATCTACCTGGACCTTCTATACCTCTATTGCATCAGGTAACTCTTGTTTCTGCTTCTCTGTTTGGCCACTCTAGAGCTTTTAATTGTAGCTCTTTTGCTGAACTTTTGGCTTTCAAATTCCTTGGCAGACATTTTTGGTGTGGCAGCTTGCTTTCTCAAGCATTTTCTTGGGACGAAGGTACTCATACGGCCAAATGGCTGGCTGCTTGCTTGTAGCTCTTGGTGTAGTAATGGCTGTGTCAAGGTATCAATTACACATTCTGTCTTCATATTTTCTACTTCATAGTCATACCGTTCTTCCCTTTCTTCGACTCTACCTTGAAGGCTTGAACCTGAGTGCTTAAGTTGGTCTGTTCCTTGTTTTATTCATTGCTTGCTGCTTAAAGAGAAGCATGGCTAGCTAGTAACCAAATCTTGTTCTGCCCGTATATGATCGCAGTGGATCGAACGAAGAGTCCATGTTATCTGGCAGCGAGTACATGTGGGCGGGTGTGATGATACTATCCAGTGCTCTTCACTCCGGTGCCATGATACTAAAGGTAGAATCTTTTTAAGAGGGTCTTTAAGTTGAAGTGAGCTGTATCAGCAGACTGATGAACTTTGCTTTTGTTAACAGGAATTCGTGTTTCTTGATGCTTCTGAAAAGCTCAAGGTATATATATATAGCCTTAACTATTTCAGGATCTGGTGGCCATCCGGTTTTCTAGTTGGTGCAAATCAAATGTCTTAATGAGTCGTTTTTGTATGCACAGGGGAAATCGCTTGACATATTTGTCGTCAATACACTGGGGTCTGGATTTCAGGTAACGCACAGATTCTTCGCATTCAGGATCTCTTTCTCTAAGTTTTGGGTTGGTAAAGCTGAAATCTAATAATATTGTGGAAGGTGGGCGAGAAATAGATGATGCTGATGCTTGGTTTATAGGCACAAGCTATTCGAAAGTGAAGTTGTTTGTAAACTGCACTTGTTGTAGCTAACTTGACTGTGGCTTGCTTGGCGTTTTGCCCTTGCTGAGCATAGCAACTATAAGGGTGCTAGGGTAGTGGGGAGAATTGAGCCTTGGATTAAATGCATAATTTCCTGTGTTATATCTCATAGTACAAGATCTTGATGCAGCAAGTTGGTTCTTTCTTAATATTGGTGCATTGCACCCGAAAATCAATCTCAGAACGCTCTCTGTCAATAGCAGTCTGTGAGAAAACTATCAAGCTTCGGTGTGTAGCTTGACATTCCTATGGCATTAAAACAAGAACAATTTTGATACAAGAAGTTGTGTTTCTTTAATTTGCAGGCTCTTTTCGTGCTTCTCTTTCTGCCCCTCATGTCAAACTTCAAGGGCATTCCGCTTGCACAACTTCCATTGTACCTGAAAAGTGGCACTGGCTGCTTTCTCAATCTCTGGTCAGACTCTCCAGGCAAGTTCTTAACTTTGCTGTAGTTATGGTGAATCCTCCCATGTCCAACATTATCCATGTTAGTCCGGTTCTTGCTTGATCAGCGAAAATTTGGGAGGTTGCTAAAACAAGTGTGTTTCTGTACACTGCAGATTGCACCGGTGCTCCACTGCTCCCAATGCTGTACATAGCCGCTAACTTGACCTTCAACATGTCCATGCTCAACTTAATGAAGCTTTCATCTGCCGTCGTATCCTCTCTGGCCACAACATTAGCAGGTTCTCTCTCACTCTCCACCTCCTCTGGCAGACGCTTCACTTCATGAGCTAACAATGTCCCTATGTTGTGCCTTTCCACTTGCAGTGCCATTGTCGATCTATGTTCTATCGCTTCCATTACCGTATCTTCCCGAAGGATCAACCTTGAGTCCATACTTCCTGTTCGGGAGCGCGACTCTTGTGTCTGGTCTCGTCCTCTACAATTTGGCTCCAGCTCAGAAGCAAACTAGTGAATAGCTTAACATAGTAAAGAAAACCCTTTTACCTCTTCTAACCTTTCTCATACCTTGAATAGCCTTCACTTTAGCTACGTTGTGGCGTTCTCTGTGGCTCTTTGTTTCGGCCGTCTTCGAGCCAGCCTGTTAAGTGTTCCATCAGTAGTAGTTTCCTTAGCTGCGTTTTATGTAATATGTCTCAATCGACATATAGTTTCTCTGTGGTGGCACGTATGGATCGGGAATTCTAATGTGCCGTCAAGGTTAAACAGAAGTATCACAAATTGGGTTGGTTTTTATTTTTCGCTGGTTCTATTGGATAGGAATTAATAAATTAATGAGGGAGAGAAAATAATTACCATAAAATCGAAAATTTCAAGTGGCTTATTAGGAACAAATCAGGTCAGTAATATTATGGTAAGTAATCGTGAGCAATCCGTCCACATCAGCATCATTTTTTCTCTTGAAAAGTCTTTAATTTTGTCATCCGTAATCTTTGGCAGGAAATTTCTCACTCGTTTTAAGTCGAAATTTAATTTTTTTTGCACAGTTAGATCAGATTAATTGTGGTCTTCAAAATGATATTCACTTTGATATATTTTTCGAATAAAAAAATTGAGCTATTTTTTACCAGTCTATACCATATGGTATTGACTGGTATTGAAATAAGAGCATATCTATGGTTTGAAAAGCGTACCATGGTGGTATGAACAACCAAGACTGTAGGATGGTTGAATACATGATAGTAGAAGTATATTAATTGTCATTTACGACTTTTAACATTGTTTACCACAAGATACCACCTCATACTAGGGTGGTATTGTGTGGTATTTTTTGGTCATGTAATTTGTTCACCCAGAAATTTGTAGAGCCAATAGATCATGATGAACTCGTTCCTTCTGTGCAAACGTTTTCAAAAACGAATTAAAAACGAAGAAAATACCATATGGTATGCAGTTGGTACCGAGAGGCAAGAAAACTTTTTTCGCAAAAAATATTGAAAATGGATCTCATTATGTAAAGCACAACGAACTCGTTCCATCTGTGAAAAAAAAATCCGAGTTAAACCGAAGAAGATATGAGCCGATTAAGAAAGCTAGAAAAAATAAAAATGGTATTTAATTCTCCATCCTTAGATCTGGATTTTCTAAACGAAGGGTCCAAATTTAGTTATTGATGGGTGCATAATCCATTTTTATGCACCCTATTTTGAGCCGGCTTATTAACCTCTGTCCCGTGCTCTTTCTTTCTCTTTCTACCATGTATTCTTTGGATCGTTCCAATTTCTGATACAACCCGAAGGACGTGACTGTTAGGGGATTGATAGTCCAATAATTTGGTTATGGTGCATCGTGCACTCTTAGAAGATCGTACTCCAAAGGAGCATCAATGGCGAAGATGAAAGGTCCACTTTATTAATGGTCCGGATTAGGTAACTAGTTCGTGGAGCGAGAGTGGGAACGAGAGCGAGAGCGTGAGAGTGTCTGGTTTAGAAGAACTCAATATTGTGTAATCGGGAAGAGATTGGAGAAAATTTAGGGATTTAGATTCCCAGAAGCAGGAAATGCGAGATGGAAAGACGAGTGACTGACAACCATCTATTTTCTCCTTTCAACTAGACAATGGGCTTATGATTGTGAGAGCCCAATGAGAATATGTAACTCAGACAATTAAAGAAGAGATTTTCAATTGAAAACATATCAGACTTATGGAGGAAGGTGCGAAAAATGGGAACATATCCTAGTCGGACAATTTCTGGTTGCTCCGCCTTCACTTGCTTCTCTCCGCTTCTGGGCTAACTGGATCTGGGGTAAAGAGGGAGAGGTGAAGGTGTCTATGCTGGAAGACCATCTGGTTTTATTTCAATTTCCATCTGAATTGACTTGTCGATGTGTTTTCGAGGGTGGTCCATGACTTTTTAAGGCGAAGATCATCTGTTTACGTCGATGAGTTCCTGGTATCAGGGCTCTAGATATCAATAATTCAGCCGTTTCGGTATGGGTCAAATTGTCAGGTCTTCCTGCTGAATTAGCTTTGCGAGAGGGTTTGGGCAGGATCGCTAATGCAATTGGGAAACCGATGTCTATGGATCACTCCACTACTCAGAGGGAGAAGTTGGGTGCTGTTAAGGTCTGTGTTGAAGTCAGTGTGAAGAAGCCGTTGGTCAACAGAATCAGTATCACCCCTGATGGCATGGATGAAAGGTTTATTGGGATTGAGTATTGTGGTTTGCCGAGCTGTTTGTGCCGCTTGTGGGGTTTTTGGCCACGATTGTTCATTGCCTCCCCCAGGAGTTCCAATCAAGAGAGTTTGGCGTCCAAAGCAACATCAAACAACAGCTATCCTGGAGGAGGTTGCTGTTGCATCTGATCCGGAGAAGGACGGGGTACAAGCAGTGATGGAAGAGAGTATTCAAGCTGTGAAAGGAAAAGAAGTTGTCATTGACGATACTCCACCAATTACTTCCAGTGCACTTCCATCTCATGAAGAGTTCAATAAGGTAATAAATGGGGCAAAACAGAAATATGGAATTAAACAGCCTACACCAATTCTACATTCTAATGCGTTTGATCTGCTCTGTGGGAGAGATATAAAGTTACAGGCTCATCTGAAAAAGCAGGGAGAGAGGGCCTACGTAGTAAGGGAGTCACAAGGTGACTATTTTGCGTAAATGACATCCCTAATCTCGAATACAAGGGGATTCAATTGCCCCTTGAAGCACAATTCTGTGCTTGATTACTTACGTGTTCATAAGGTTTCACTTTTTTGCTCTTCTTGAAACTAGAGTACAAAAAAAGGAAAGCATTGATAAGATTAGACAGATAATTACTCTAAGAATAAATTGGGGAGGATTTGGATTGGCTGGAATGATGATGTTAAGTTGCAAGTACTGAAGGAGGAGGAATACTTCATTCACTGTCTAATTGATGGAAACATGGTCTTCAGTTTTTCATTACAGTTGTTTATGGCTAGAATGAGGAGAAGTCAAGATTATCTACATATAGAATGTTGAATAGTTGGAAGGTGCAAGGATTTCCTTGGATGATTGGGGGGCGATTTTAATGCTATTCTAAGCCCTGCAGAAGCCTCAAATCCTATACCAATCTCTCAAAGCATGATCGACTTTAGGGATTGGTTGACACAAATGGAAGTGGTTGACTACTGCTCCTGTTTTTACATGGGCAAATCAGCAGCAGAATAATCCTATAGCTAGGAGACTGGATAGACTTCTTGTGAATGTGGAATGGTTTGACAAGTTTGCAGAGTGTGTTGTTGAATTCTTATCGCAAGACTTTTCAAACCATTGTGGGATTTTAATTCAGCTGAAAGTCCCAACATAGAGCTTCCCAAAACCCTTTAGATTCTTTGACATGTGACTTGAGCATGAAACCTTTAACCACTTGTGATCCAGCTGTTGGAACCAGGATGTCTCACAGCCAGGTTTATGGAGAGTTAAGCATAAACTGAACTTATTGAAGGTGGAGCTAAAGAAGTTAATTAAGGAAGCTTACTTTGACATATCTGCTAGGGTGAAGGAAAAGAGAGCAGAAATGAAGCAGCACCAGTTGCAAGCTTTGCATAACCCTTCAGAAAGTCTCTTTGAGAGTGTAAGGAAGGTGACTCAGGAACTGATCTAACTGTTGAATGCGGAGGAGGCCTTTTTCAGACAAAAATCTCACATTTCTTGGCTTTCTTTGGGAAATGCGAATTCTTCTTTCTTTCATAACTCTGTTAAATTCCGAACTGCCAAGAAGCATATAAGGAAACTTATTGCTTCCAGTGGGGAGGAATTAACAGAGACTCAACCTATCGCAGATGAAGATGTTAGTTTTTAGAAAAAGCTCTTCGGGGTGATTAATAGTGAATTCAAGGTGGTGGCATCTTCATTGAAAGCTGCTTGAGGGGGAAACTGTCACAAGCATATCAAAAGTTCCTTTGTGAAGTGATAACTGGGCAAGAGGTCAAAACCGCTCTATTTGACATGGATCTTACCAAGGCTCTAGGTCGAGATGGTTGGACAACTGTTTTTTATAAAAAATGTTGGGGAGTTATAGGTCCGGACATCGTTAGGGGGGTGAACTCAACATCTCTTACACTGATCCCAAAAGTGCCTAATGCAGTTTCTCTTACTGCCTATCGTCCTATTGCCTGTATTATCCTAATCTACAACATCATTTCAAAAGTGCTTGCCAATAGGCTGAAAATGGTTCTTCCTTCCATTATCAGCATAAATCAATCTGCCTTTATTCAAGGTCGAAGTATCTTAGAGAACATCCTAATGGCTCAGGAGATAGTACAGAATTATAATAGGAATCAAATCCCTTTTAGATGTGCAGTGAAGGTTGATCTAAAGAAGAATTTTGATTCAGTTAATTGGGAGTATTTGCTTTGTGTAATGATCAAAATGTGCTTCCCGAAAAAGTTCTGTCAAGGCAGTCTGTTTGGGTTTTTTCAGGCATCCAATGGTGTAAGGCAGGGGGATCCCATCTCCCCTTACCTCTTCACCATAGCAATGGAGCCTCTTAAGGTCATGTTAGATAAGGCTGTAGGGGATAAGATCTTGCCTTTTCATCCCCAATGTAGAGAGATAGGCTTAACTCACCTGGCGTTTGCTGATGATTTGCTCATCTTTTCTGAGGGATCTGGCACAGCTTTAAGTAGAGTCAGAAGTATTCTAGATGACTTATACACGCTATCTGGTCTATAATGTAATCCAAATAAGTGCGAAGTTTTCTTTGGCGGACAAGCTAAGCAATTTAAGCACATTGCTATTCATGTTTCTGGTTTCAAAGAGGGACACCTCCCCGTGAGATATCTTGACTTACCCTTGATTTCTGGAAAGCTGTCAAGCAGGGAATGCTCAGTTCTAGTGGACAAACTTACAAGCAGGATTAGAAGTTAGAGGGCCAATAAAATGTCATATGCTGGCAAATTGAAACTTATAGAATCTGTCCTCTACTCTATTGTGAATTACTGGATGGCGATTTTTTTTCTTTACCAAGAAGATGATTAAAGCCATTCATAAAATATGCTCTGATTTTCTATGGCATGGAGAGGGGTCTGGTAAAGCCAAAGTTGCCTGGGAAACTCTTATTGTTCATAAGCAAGAAGGTGGCCTAGGGATGAAAGACTTGATTTCCTGGAATGTAGCATGTATTGCTCGGCTCATCTGGTTACTTCTTCTACAAGGTGGGAGTTTTTGGGTTGCCTAGATAAGGAAGTATAGGTTCTGAGGGGAAACAATCTGGCAGGTTAGAATGTCATCCACAGGGTCCTGGATTTGGAAGCAATTGTTAAAGATCAGACCTTGGATTCGATACAAAATGGATATTGACAATGATGGGATAGTAACATGGCAAGGCAATAAGATGATTAGATATTCTATCTCAATAGTTTGGCAGGCGATTAGGAGTAGAAAGCCACTTGTGGTGTGGTGGAAGATACTATGGAATAAGTTTGTTATACCTAAAAATCGAGTCATCACTTGGTTAGTAATTCTTGATCGAATTGCTACCAAGGATAAGTTACATAGCTGGGGAGTGATAAGGGAAGATACTTATGTGCTTTGTAACAAGGAAACATAAACTAGAGACCAGTTATTTTGTGCTTGCAGGTATACTGTGGTTTTTATATCACTACTGCTACAGAGGACTGTTCTGCTTCCACCCTCATGGGAACAGATGATGGAAGTTATGTGTCATTCACTCAAAAGCTCCCTTGGTGGAATTGACGTTATGGTGCTATTGTATCACTTTCATTTGGAGGGAACACTGTCAGAGATGCTTTGGGGAAAGGTTAAATACAACTGACTAATTAGTATCTCAACTGAAAGAAGAGATCAGGTTGTATGGATGTGCGAATCCTGAGTTTAGAGCTCGCTTACAAGCTTCGGAATTTGCAGCTCTGCATCTTGTCTAGTGTTTTGTTTTTTGTTATCCTTTACAACTCATTTAGTAATTTGTATAAGGATTTGTAGGCAGTCTGCCTTTGTATTTTTCGACTCTACTGCTGCTTTTTCACCGTAAAAAGGTGCTTAATAGAAACAACTCTAATTACCGGGGGAAAAAGTGTATCTTAGGCAACTGAGTGATAAAGTTTTTACTTTATAAATTAGTTGTCAAAAAATTAATAAGCGAACAAAATAAAAACAAACATGGGAAGAAACATCGATGGGTGTTGATTGGCTAACATACACTAGGTGTTTTTTTTTTTGAGAAATTACTTAATATATTCTATAACATTTTCATATGGGTATAATCAAAATTGTAAAATCGTAATGGACATTGTACCATAAAAGTTAACAATAAAATATTTCATGCTGAAAACTTGATTTAACTATTTCATATCGTTAAAACCGTTCCCCAATTTAACTTATGGTATGAGATTTCTGATCGAATCGCCTCAATAGTACGATTTTACAAATACTTGTTATAATAAGGGTTCAAGAAAACGCGCATAAGCGCTCGTCTAGGCTTAATAAAGCGCAAAGCGTTGAGAGAACTTATGACAATAGCATGGAATAAAGCGCTAGGCGCGCTTGACACCTAATAGATACCGCCTAAGCGGTGGAGCGCCTAGGCTTAATAAAGCGCAAAGCGTTGAGAGAGCGTCTCGCTTATGGCAATAGCGTGGAACAAAGCGCTAGGCGCGCTTAACACCTAATAGATACCGCCTAAGCGGTGGAGAAAGCTATTAAGCGGCCGCCAAAGACCGCAATATTGGAGCTAGGCGTTTTGTTTCTTTATTTTTTTCGGTACAAAGTTAGGCCTGGACGACTTCATTTCTGTCTCTCTTTGTAGAAATTGATTCTATAATTCTCCTTCCACAAAATTGGAAAATGCTACTCGAATCTCGTACAAATCAAAACCCTGCGTCCGTCTTCTTCCTCACGCCGCTCTAGGTCGATACTCACCCAAAACGATAGGTCGTGTCTGTTGTGTGTTGGGAAGAGCTTTTAGCTCGTTCGGCCGCCGCTGAGAGAGCATCCCTCGCCGCTCGACTACTATATGCCCTTTCTGAATCTCGCTGCTCTGCATTTGTGACTGTACGTAATCTGCCTTCTAGGCATCTTCCTTATTGCTTGCTGCTTCTTCCTTTCTCTATTGTTTCCTTCTTGCTGCCGTGAGTTATAAGGGAATAAACAGAGATGTTTTGTTTTGTTTTGTTTAGGGCTTTGGGCTTTGAGTAATTATTATATAGAACATGAAAGCTGGTACACTTTATTGGCCTAACATCTATACTACTGTTTCATTCTTTGGCGTCTTGTGGGCTGGGACTGAAAGAGCTTATTCATCCGAAGAGCTTCCCCTTTCCTGTGCTGTTGTGTGGTCTCAACAATTGCAGGGTGCCCATACTGTCTGTGTCCTCTATCCCATCTCCGTCCTCTCACAACTGCTCCTATTGCAGGGTGTCCATACTTTTTGTGTCCACTATCCCTTCTCCGTCCTCTTGCAACTGCTCCTACACGCCACTGACCATGATTTCCACAGTACCCACCTTACTTCTCTGAATTAAAAGAAGATGTATGTTGCTTTTGTTGCCAAACCTCTTCTTCCAGCCATTCATCCAAAAAAGAGACTGCTGCTTATTGTTTCATGCTCTCCGCCTCATATGGAGCGCCATCGAGGTGGTGGAACGGCGAGGTCCATGATACGACCATCGAAGCAGTCGCAGTCAACCTTCAACAGTCCACCTGAAGTTGGAACCGGCGACACTCCACTCTCCCGCATCGGGGCTGCGAATGCTGCTCTACACAATTGCGGCGCCACCTATCTCCCTCCCAGTTCCCGTCTTCCTCAAGAGGAGCTTTGTTGTCGGTGTAGATGGCCAAGCATGAGCGATCCCGATCTCCCAAATGCAGACTTCCCTATGGATGAATCCGACAAAGATGACAATGATGACGAGAAAATGACCGCGAAGATGACAGAGATGATGATGATGCCGGAGACGCCACCAGTTCGTTTCTCTGGCAGCACTCCACTCTCCCTCCTCGAGGTTCAGAAATAGAAGCTCTGATGTGGAAGGTCACAACGAGGAGAAAAACGTAGACGGCGGCGAAGGTATTGGGATCTATACGGGTTTCACTTCATACTGTCGTATCCCGTTTTGCTTTCATGGACTTTTGTTTCCTCTCTTTTCCATATCTTCGCCGCCAGAGTCTTCAATGGTCTGATGGCTATTTGATGGATTCAGTTGTGGGCGCAGTTGGTTGCTGACCTTCAGTGCGGGACAGACAGAGATGGACAAAAAAGGGGCGACATGCCGAGGGAAAGGCAACAACAGCAAGATTGTACTTTTGATGGCAGCAGCAGCCTGGGTTCTACATCTCAACATCAACTCTCAAGCCTCATTCTGTAAGTGAAGGCTGCACCTTCTCTTTTCTTCCCTCTACCCTCTTTTCAATTTCGATTTGGGTGTTTTTTTTCTAGCTTCAGTGTAACAAAACAGGGGCCTGAAGATGTTGACCGGAACAACTGGCCTACACTATCAAGACCAGAAACGGATTGCTTTCTTATAGATTGCGACTTGAATCAATGATTAGTATATGTGGGAAGGTAGGAGGAAAGGAAGTTTTGAGCTTTAACGAGTTGTTGATGAATGAGCTGCTGAATTGGAGGATCATTAGTGATGGAATGTCCGACTTGGTTGCTTTCTTATATAGATTTCAGACTCTTGAATAAGTGATTAGTATATGGTGGAAGGTAGCAGAAAAGAAAGTTTTTAGCATGAACGAGTTGTTGATGAATGAGCTGTTGAAATTGGACGGGATTATTGATGATGAAGATGTCAAATTACAGAGGAAATTGCAGGCAAGAAGTGTTCAGATTGGTTCCAGGAGACCGGGAACAAGAATGGCTTGAAAAGTGTTAATCTTCTTTTCTTTCCAGATGGATTGAAAGGTGCTTTCTTCTTTACTGATTTTCTTGATATGCGCAGTGATTCTCTTTCTTTTATTGATTTTCTTGATATGGTCAATGATTCATTTGGTATTCACATTCTATGAGACGTAGTGTGCTTGCCTTATCTATTGTTTGTTTCAGTTAAACAAAATCACTATCATTGCTGCTTGGTACGAGGTCCGAGAGGAGTTGCAGGATCTCTCCGTCGTTCAGAGCTTCAGAACCTTTTCCAAATGGATTTATGATCAGATTACATATAAACTAATTATATTTACCATCATTTGCTTTTACAGGTCGGGACCTGTAATATAAGCATGCTTTTGCTGCTGCTGCTACAACGTCATTTCTTCGGAAGGTAATTCATTCACTACACAACCATCTGGGAACTGCAGTGCTACTGCTAGATTCGAGAAACTCGATTCTCCTACATAGTCATTTTATTTTACCTTCTATTGTGTTGTTATGGGAGGAGGCGTAGAAGTGAAGTACTCATATGGTAAAGGATGATATGAACAAGAAATACCATAAAGAAACTGGTGTGAACAAGAACAGGTTCAGTTGGAAGGTAAAGACATTGTTAATGGTTATAGCAAAGACCAACCTGTTGAATTTTTTGCTTTATCAGTAGAATGTGAACTGAAAGTTTTGCCAACAAGTTCAATTGGAAGGTAAAGACAATATCAACAGCTGATGGGATAGCTTTATCTTGCTGTTCTTCAGTTTCTACATACAATTGAAGATGTGAAAGAACTGGAATCTAGATTCAAAGTTCCCACGAATTACAAATCAAAATCATTATCCACATTCAGGTTGTTATTCCTCATTTTTTTCCACAATACACAAGGGATAATTTGCTTGGCCCGACATGACTAAATCCCCCGCGGCGTAGCCGCGGGTATTGATACTAGTAAATTAAACAGAGACCTTGCTGCTTCTTCCTTTCTCCCACATAGACGTCCTACCTTCTGGAGAATGCTGGTTGTTGTGGTTGGCATTACTGATCGCTATAAGTCTATAACTCCACCACCAATCAATCATGTTTAATTGTTTATGAATTAATAAATTATGACTATTGCTTGTCCTTTTCTTTGAGTAGGCTTTTGTTAATTGTAATGAATTATGATACGTATTAAGCTCTTGCTTGTCCTTTTCTTTGAGTAGGCCTTTGTTAATTGTTTATGAATTATGAATTATAATACATTTGTCAATTAGAAACAAATGAAGAGAATGCCAACATTTTGAAGAGGGAGTCTGGTGATATAGGATTGGAATATGGAAGATTGATGGGTCTCAGACCAAGGAGAGAGTACTGTGTAATTTTTGTGGAAGAGTTCCATCATGAAGAATTCGAGTATGAAGAGGATGACGGAGAGGAGATTACTTTTGAGGAAGATGAGATGAAGTGGTGACTGGACGAACTTACATGGATGATGAAGAATGAACTTTTTTATTATGTGTTTATTGACTATTGTTTAGTATTTCGACATTTTATGAACTTGTGATCCTAGGAAATGGACACTACTTGCTTGTTATTTGTTATGTTTAGAGTTAACTGTTGAGAACTAGGTGTTTCTAATTTTATATGAACTTTGTGATCATATGAAGTATTCTAGAAAACATTAAATAATTGAGACTGTTTCCTAATTCTGCTCAGAACGCCTAGGCGCGCCTATGCTACACTTAATCAGGCTAGGCACTAGCCAGGAACCGAGCGCTCGCCTTACGCCTAGCGCCTAGCGCCTTTTTGAACCTTAGTTATAATATATGTATTCATATTCGTTAAATAGGTAAGAAAGCACTATTGTTTGTTTTGAATGAGATAACAATTATTATTTACTGGTCAAAACAAAGAAAATGAAAAATAGTGATATAATTACCACAAAAATAATAGCTTAACCATAATTTCTCTCTCATCTCTTTAAAGAAACCACCAAAATAAAAAGAAAAATATATATTATGAAGGGAGGTTGTTTTATTTAATGACAACAACGTATGAAGAGAGAATTATATGACAGTTTTAGAGAGAGAAATTTTATTGATAATATGGAGAATTGAAAAGTAAAAGAGAGAAGGGGAAGCTGTTTTAACTGATTCGTCATGGCGGGGGAACGCTCCTAGGTAGATCTCTTCGGAATCGCAGAGGAGAATCAGTTGGTTGACATCGAGCCCGAAATCGTGGATGGAGGGCTTCGCATCCTGGCAGAGCTTGAAGAAGAAGGTATTGCTCGCTGACAGCCTTGTCTGGTAGGTCAGTTCCTTTCATCCTCGCCGCATATCAAGCAGATTTAATCCTGGGAGAATAGGTTGTGGGGCAAGAAGGGATCATTAGGGTTTCTTGGCTAGGGCACCGCCTGCTGCTTTTCTAGTTTCCAATAGATCAGGTAGCTCATTGGGTATTCACGAATGGTCCTTGGCATCTTCACAATGACATGTGCTATCTGCGAAAATGGGAACTAGGGATCAGAGCAGAGAGTCCCAAACCAATGATTCCATTGTGGGTTAAGTTCATTGATTTACCACTAGAGAATGTCACTAGCAGAATCCTCACTCGTCTGGCTAGTATGATTGGTAGACCCTTGCGGTTTGATAAATCATCTCGACTTGGGCAACGGTTGGGCTATCCTAAGGTGTGTGTTGGCTTGGACACTGTGTTCCCGGAGTCATTGAAGCTTTTCCCAGATAGAAGGCGTGCTTTTCATGTTCAATTGGAATATTGCAACATGTCAGTGGCCTGCAAGAAAGGTCATCAGTTTGGGCATAACTGCACTGAAGAGGTTACTGCTCAACAGGTGGAGGTGAATTCTGCCCAGCAGGAGGATTTGAGCCCTGTTCGGCAGGAGGAAGAGGTGAGTGTGCGGAATACTGTGGAAGTGGCTTTAGAGGGTGATTCAGGGGTTGATGGTGGTCAGGAGGCATTAGTGAATACAACAACTCGTTTGCAAGGAAATGCTCAGGTGCCAGAGGTGACATAAGAAGGAATGTGTCTTCAGTTGGCAGTAGATAACCTAGTCACATGTTTGACAAATGTTGGGGCTAAGAATTGGCAATCTTCTAGTGTAATTCTTCCATCTGAGTCTGACTTCTAGGCAGCAGTAACTGATCAAAACCTAGCTGCTTCATCATCAAACTCTTTCCAGGCTCTATCCTCCGTGGATCAATTTGAGATAGGGTCGCTAGTTGTCTCTCCCTTGAAGAACAATAAGGATTTCCATGAATTACAAGTAAGTATGGCACAGCAGAAGGGTGGTAAGAAGAAGGTTGGGAGACCTTCAATAAACAATAAGAATGGTAAATGATAGTCCTGTCCTGAAACATGGGGGGCTTCAATAGCCTTGATAAGCAGGCATAAATAATGGAGATGGTTAAAAAGTAGGGTTAATATCTTATTTTGGCCCGAACTATGACCATATAATCAACTTTGGCCCGTGGTTTCAGAAATTAACATTCTGGCTTCAACTATGCCGCATGTAGACTCAATTGGCCCGACACATGGTTTGACCGTCAATTTGGATGGTCAACACCTTGACCGTTAGTCAACACGTCATGTCATTGCCTCGTCAGCATAAAAATTATTAAAAAATCAAATTCAAATTATTTTCCTAATTTCTATTATTTATTATTTTCAAATTAACCAAAAAAATAAAATTTAAAAAATATAAAATAAAATTTATTTTTAATTTTTTGGATATTTGAAAATGATAAAATTTATAAATTAACCAAAAATTATCAAATTAAATTTTATAAATTTAAAAAGTATGATATAAATGATATATTTTATTTTTGGGTAATGTTAAATATATCAAATAATTTGATAATTTTTGGTTAAGTTATAAAATGTATCATTTTCAAATTACACAAAAATAAATTTATTTTATATTTTTTATAAATTATTTTTTTAATGTGATTATAAATAATAAAAACTAAAAAATAATTTGGATTTGAATTTTTTAATGATTTTTAGGCTGGCGAGGCAATGACATGGCGTGTTGACTAACAGTCAATGGTGTTGACCATCCAAATTGACGGTCAAACTAAGTGTCGGGCCAATTGAGTCTATATGTTACATAGTTGAGGCCAGGATGTTAATTTCTGAAACCACTGGCCAAAGTTGATTATATGGTCATAGTTCAGGCCAAAATAAGGTATTAACCCTAAAAAGTATAAAGTGGATTTAGTGGCAATACTAGAAACAAGAGTAAAAAGAGAGAAAATGCAAGATATAAAAAATAAGTGGTTCCTGACTGGTAGATAGAAGACATTTTACTCTGCAAATCAAGTAGGCAGAAAACGGATTTTATGGCGACCTGAATTACGGTTCTCCATTATGGAGAGTGGGGATCAGTTTGTTCATGGTGAGGTACAGTGGGCAGAGGGAGATGCAGGTAACTCTGCTTTACAGCTCCAATGAAGTAAATGAAAGATTAGACTTGTACAACAAGTTGAGAAGAGTGGTTGACAAGAATAAGCCATGAATGGTAGTGGGTGACTTTAACGCTATAGTTAGTAGTCAGGAAGCCTCAAGCGATGTTGATCTAGGGGAGAGTGCTTTAAACTGGGAACTGGATAACAAACATGCAGTTGGAAGATCACAGGATGGATGGACCTTGGTTCACCTGGTCTAATAAACAGGCTGCAAACCCTTTGGCAAAAAGGTTGGACAGGGCAATGATGAATACCATGGTTGAGCAAGTTCCCTAGAAGTGCAGTAAAAATCCTTCCACCTAGGCTCTCTGATCACTGTGGTGTCCTCATTCATACGGATACCTAGACCAAAACACTCCCTAGACCATTTAAATACTTTAGTTTCTGGAGGCAACATCCGGATTATGAGAGGTTGGTAAAAGAAGGATGGATGTTCCAGCTAGGGGTTGTGCAATGTTCAGACTGTACCAAAAATTAAAGCAAGTGAAAGCTAGACTAAAAAATCTTAATAGGATCCACTACTCAGACATACATGAGAGAGTGCTTATTGCCAAAAGTATCTCCTGCTGTAGCACAAGTTGAAGCCTTGGAGCGTCCTACTTTAGCCTCCTTTGCAGGAGAGCAGGAGTGTAAGGTCCAGCTTCTTTAACTGCAGAAGGATGAAGAAAGTTCTCTTAGGCAAAAGTCAAGGCAATCTTGGTTAGCATAGGGGGACAAGAACTCAAGGTTTTTTCATGATTCTGTGAAGGTAAGGAATAACAGGAACACTATCAGGCAGTTGGTCACTGATGAAGGGCAGACACTTACAGATGTGGAGGAAATCGGGGAGGAAGCCATTAAGTTTTACAAGAAGCTGCTGGGAGTAAAGGATGCAGATGTCTGGAAATACTATATCAATATGATAAAGAAGCTCCTTATTCATCATCTTCCTTTTGAGGTCACAAGTCTTTGTGATCCGGTTTCATCTGAAGAAGTCAAGGCAGTGGTTTTTGGTATGCCTAGGGATAAAGCCCCTGGACCTGATGGGTTTACAACAGATAATTGGCCACTAGTTGGAGCTTGTCACAGAAGCAGTGCAGGACTTCTTCATTTCGGGTAGACTATTGAAAGAAGTGAATGGTACGATCCTTACCTTAATCCCTAAAGTCCCTAATGCAGATTCTCTTAAACAATACATACCTATATCCTGCTGCAACTTTCTATACAAATGTCTGTCAAAAGTGGTTGTCGATAGGCTTATAGAAGTGTTACAGCTGGTGATTAGCAAGAACCAATCAACTTTCAACAAAGGAAGGATGATAAGTGATAATATCATTTTATCTCATGAACTGGTTAAAGGGTATTGAAGGAAGAATGTGTCACCTAGATGTGCTATAAAGGTGGATATAATGAAAGCCTTCGACAATGTTGACTGGGAATTTTTGCTTACTGTGTTAGAAGCTACGAGGTTTCATTTACAGTTTATTAGATGGATTAAAACTTGTCTGGAATCAGCTACATTCACTATATGTGTCAATTGGGGGGGGGGTTAACAGGTCACTTCCAAGCTCAAAAAGGGTTAAGACAAGGGAATCCCTTGTCCCCTTATCTGTTTGTAGAGCACTTCTACTATGCTATATAGCATTGGTGCTTTAATGTACAACTTAAAGTTGTACCATAACATTAAATGTATAAGTTTAGGTTGTACCATAAAGCAATTTGTACAATTATGTTATGATATAACTTTACAACTTGAAGTTGTACCATCACATAAAAGTACAAGTTCAAGTTGTACCATAAAAGAATTTGTACAAAAAGTATATGTACAATCTGAAGTTGTACCATAATATAAATGTACAATTTTAAGTTGTACCATAAAGACAAAAACCTATAGCACCAATACTATATAGCATTGTAAAATTCCTTCTGTTTGTAATCTTCATGGACATACTAAGCTGTATGTTGACTAGAGAAATTGAAATGAAGGTCCTTCCCTTTCATCCCTTATGCCAGATGATAGGGTTGTCCCATCTGTGCTTTGAAGATGATCTTCTGATCTTCACAAAAGGATCAGTGGAAGGGGTGCAAGGAGTACCTGAAGTTCTAAAGCATTTCTACTGGATCTCGGGTCTTAAATGCAACCCTTAGAAAAGTGAG